AAGGGCATCAATGTAGATGGAAAATTTTTAAATAACCTTAAATTTGCAGATGATATTGTTCTTATTGCAGACAGCTTTGATCAGGCACAGATAATGCTCCAAGAACTCCATACTGCCACAAAAAGAGTTGGTCTTAAAATAAATTTTTCAAAAACACAATTTATGACAAATTTAGTCCACAACAAAAACATCTCAGTAGAAGACAAAGATATTGAGCCAGTTGACTCCTATAAATACTTAGGCCATGAGATCAGAATAAGTCGAGACAACCAAAAAATCGAGCTGAAAAGAAGAATAAACCTAGCTTGGGCTGCATTTGGAAGGATGAAGGATATTTTTAGGTCTAAGATTCCAATGTGTCTGAAAAGAAAAGTATTTAATCAATGTATTTTGCCAGTGATGACCTACGGCGCAGAAACCCTAACGCTCACAAGAACAACAGTGAGTAAACTACAAGTTGCGGAAAGAGCAATGGAGAGAATTATGTTAGGGATTTCTCTACGTGATAGAATACCCAATGCTACTATACGCAAAAGATCAGGAGTAGCAGACGTTATTGAAAGGACAACAACACTAAAGTGGAACTGGGCAGGTCATGTAGCAAGATCAGTTGATGACCGGTGGACAAAAAGAATTTTGAAATGGAGACCCCGAATACAAGCTTACAGAAATAGAGGTCGACCCCCAACAAGATGGACAGATGACATAAAAAGAGTGACTACAAATTGCATTCAGATGGCGCAAAATCGGACTAAGTGGAAAAGCATGCGAAAAGCATGCGAGAGGCCTATGTTCAGCAGTGGACGTTAGAGGCTAGTTGATTATATATACTATATACTACAAAAATGATCTGCAAATACAAAATGATTTCAAATGTATTCCAAAGTGTAAATACCTATTCTTTTACACATTTTGCTTTCAGCGTTTTTTAATAAAAAATACTTTAAAATGAGAAGTATTTCTACAGCAAAAAAAAAAGCAAAAACAGATAAATATCGAATCTATCTTAACACCTTCAAGGCTATTTGTAGTTTTCCGAACATATTCTAACAAAAAAGACATTAATCTTCAATCGAAATTGCCTCTGCAATATTTTTCCTTTAATATTGGTGTCCAGATTTTCTCTTAACGACTTTTAGATATATCTCTATCTAAATTATATATCTTCTGGCTACACTACAAAAAAGACAAATATTGCATTATGTTTTAAAAGCATATGCCATTAAGAGTCGTCATTTAATACATTAATAAAGTATTTCTTCCAGATCATTGGCACATCTCAGTAGTGCATAGTGTTCTATTGTTGTCTATGGCCTCTGATATATCTAATCCGTTTTCATTAAATTAATATAATTTAAAGTATATTTAAATATTATATGTATCGTTACCTTTTCTGTTCTTTTAATGTGTATTCAACCAAATAGTTTAAAGGTAGTGATTGAGACCTCTATTTGCAAAACAACCAATCTCCACCCTGGCAAAATTACCGTCAATCGTAATTTTTTACCGTAAATATATTTGTAAAACCTGCAGCCACAAAATTCGTTATCCATAAAATTTGATCGCTCAAAATTAGTTTTTCGTTGCTAGTTTTTTGGTTGTCATTAAAATACTCTTATAATTAAAGAAAAATATTTGGAGATTGGCTACTTTGCGATTATCAAGTGGTTATTTTGAAATGAACTGACCAGGAGATTAGTTATTTTGTAGTAAAAAAAAACATATATGTTTAATAACAGTACTTAATACATTAAAATAATTATTAATTCCAAAATTCTATACTCTGAAGACTTCTTCGTCGTTATTATCATTAAGTGGTTCACAATAAACGTCGTCTTCTTCAAGGACGCTTGAAACATTTGTGTAATCGATTTTAAAATAAGCCAATTTCGGATTATTTTGCCATTCTTCGCCGTAGTGACTTTCCAGTAGCTTCCTTACGTCCTTCAATTTCTCGTTGCTAATGTTGACCAAGTTCCCGACTCCTATTTCATTTGGATGGATGTTAATGTTCGATCTTCTATTGTTTTTAATACTTCTAAACAAACCGATGCTTGAGTTGTAGCTTTTGTGCTCTTTAACCAATGCAACCTTATTGTGTTGTCGTGATCTTGACAAACAAATCCTTTTTATTTTCGTATCTGAAAGTGCCACCTCTGCAGTGTTTTAAATGTACACAATACTTCGGGTTTCCAATCGTAGAATTATAATCCATATTCAGAAATTCAGATTCATCTAGAATTTTAAACTGCTGCGTTAGACTTTTTGTTTTCTGTACACCGAGCTGGAGCTCGATCTTACATCCACTGAACCATTCGACAGTGAAGCGAAAGAGAGGCAGCCCCACAGCCCGCTGAGCTATCTGACCGACGTCAGTTAGTTCTTATTTTAATTTTTCTTTTAATGTCTTGTTTTATTAGATGTTTTTGATCGTTTTGATTATTCCTAGAGGTATCTCTCTTGCGCACAATACGTGAGTAATTTTCTTTCATTTAACCCGATCTAATACCTTCTTAAAATCCACAAAACATATATATGCCAGTTTATTGTATTCTAATGATTTCTCTTGCACTTATTTCTGTCTTTTCTACCTAAAACTTTGTTCTTCTGCTAGTGCTATAATTTTATTAAATTTATTTGTTATTACTTTTGTAATAAGAAATTTAGTTTGGTTGTTAATAAAGTTGTTAATTTTAGTGTTGTGTTTATTAAATTAATTCCTCTGTAATTTTCTAGGTCCGATTTGCCTCACTTTTTGAAGACAGGTATTGATTAAAGGATTCTTGATCTCCATTCTTGAGGAATTCTATTTTGTTTTATTATTTTTTTGGATTAGTTTCTATAATTGTTTGGTTAGATCTGGTACTCCGTACTTTAGGAGTTCGTTTGGAACTTTTTCCTCTCTTGGTGATTTTCTATTTTTGTATTTCCTTAATGCTACCTTTACCTCTTCCTCCTCAATATTTATTTCTTTGTTGGCGTCACCTCTGGTGTTGGTGGTTCATTATCGTCAGCTTTAGCAAATAGGGATCGAAAGTAGTCTGTTCCCTTTTTATTTGTCTAACTAAAGTATTCGTTTCATTTCTGATTTGTTAATCAGTATATACTCCAATATCTTTGGCCTTGTTTCCTTTTGCGCCTCCACTTTAGATTAGTATGTATTCGCTAAATTCTGATTGTCCTTTTTCTTCTTGTTTTGTGTTCTGTAGAGTCTATGTCTATTTGTTTCTCTTTGAGTACTTGGTTTACTTCGTGGTCCCTTGAGTTGAGCGATCTGATATTCCATGTAGTAAATCTCATTTGGGTTTTGGATATTTTTTCCTTGTCCTTATTTCTTGTACATCCACCTCTTAATTACTTCAGGCAATGATGTATATATATATATATATATATATATATATATATATATATATATATATATATGTTTTTAAGTATATATTAAATAAAACCCCTTAATTAATTAACCAAACTATACGTATGCTTGAATTGAGTTGATGAACAATCGAGATAATTGAAATAGAACTTTCTATCTAAAAACAAAAAAAAAATAAAATGATTCTAGTTCTCGTTTTGGATGCGAAGGATACAACGATACTAGATTCAAATACTGGTTTAGCCCATTTTTGTATTAGTAAGGAAATATGTAAATAGTGACATTTCAAATAAAAAAGAAATATCCATCAAATGAAATAAATTTAAACAACAACACATTTCCGTACGTTATATAAATACCATTAAATAACTTCAAATACCTATTGATTCTTTCTCCGGTATAACTTTTAGCAGTGTATTGCCAAAACATAATAATTTATTTGTTTGACCACACTTATAAACGCACCATATGTGTAATATGGCGGCGTTATACGTCCCCTCATCATCATTAGGTAGTAATTAAATTTTAGTTGGATATAATGCATAGCTTTGAGGGTAGTGCCTACGGATGGCCGGAAAACTCGAAACCCCGAAAGGTTGAATTGATTGATAGGGGGCGGTAATTGCACCTACTCGGTAAGTCTAGGATATGATAATCATTTCCGCTTTGGCGGAAATTACTTTAGATTGGATATTGCGATGAATTATTAGAGAGTAAATGAAAAAGACACATTTTCGTTTGTACTAAGGTTTAAGAAGCAAAAATTATGGGACAATGTTTTAGAGAAAATAATAAAATTTTTTAAGGAAGTCCATTATATACCATAATATTTTTAAAGGAAAATTCTTTGTGTTTGGCTATATACCGTAGGATAAAAATTAAAATGAACTATAGAAACTTTATTTTTGTAGTAGACATACTTGAATGGAAAAAAATATCCAAAAAAACTGGTTAAATCAAGACGTTTTTGGTCCTTCCAGACCATGTATGTCTTGATTATAACTTGCAAATAACATTATTATATTTTTAAAATCAGGAGGTTAAACGAAATTTATCATATAGAGACTGTTCTGGATAAACCGGTAGTCGCAAAAAAGTTGCAGGTAGACGCAGAGTACACCGTAGGAACCAACGCCCAATGTTATAGAAGAAAATGGCAACTCTAGGTGGGATTAGCTTCCCTAATTAGACTTCTTCAAAATGTATATCTTGGGTCAGACCAATATCAATTCGCTTTAACAACATGTCCTGCCTAAGTATCTTCTTCTAAGTCTTCTTTGGTCTTTCTCTCCTACTCCTTCCAGGAGCTAGCAGGTCAGCAATTCCTCGTATTGGGTTATTAATGTCTCGACGTTGAACATGACCAAACTATCTTAACCTATACTCTCTCATTCTGGCATCAATTGATGCCACCTCTTGGCTTCCACTTATATACTTATTTTTAATTTTATCCATTCCTGGAACTTCACTTATTTATCCAAGCATTCTTATTTCCGCCAGATGTATTAGTTTTTCCTCTTTCTTTTTAACTGTAAAAAAATAGCTCCTTACATCATAAATGGTCTAGGAGCTGTTTTGTAGAAATATAACTTGAGTTTTATTGGATTTTTTTAGTTGCACAACTCACCACTCGCTTCCTTCCACTTGATCCATCCAACCCTAATTCGGCCGCATGGAATGTTACCCTGTAACATTCTGTAAAACCCTTTTACAGAATGTTATTTGAATTATTATTTTACAGAATTGTAAAATTTTACCCTGTAAAACTGAGTAAATATGTGACCAATTTCGTATCAGTCTCGAGTAGAATATTATTACTGCAAATAATTACTCAACCATTTAAAACTAACATACTTCATATCCATGCCCCGACTGCAGATAGCAAATATGACGATGAAGTCGAGAAGTTGTATAATTTGATCCAAGACATCTTACAGAAACTTAATAAACACGAAATTTTATATATTATAGGCGACTTCAATGCAAAAATTGGGAAAGGTCGACGAGGTCAGACTGAGGGTCCTTATATTTTAGGACTACCTAATGATCGAGGACAGAGATTGTATGAATTTTGTAAAGAAAACACTAATCATTGCAAACACCTGGTATAAACTACCCAAGCTACTATAAACTTGGAAAGCCCCATTTGATGATGGCAATCACCGTGAATCCTTGAAAAATCAAATAGACTATATACTTCAGTGGTTCAAATAGAAATGCCGTCAAAAAGGTCACTACGTTTCCTGGGGCAAATATTGGATCTGATCATTAACAACTTGTAGCAGATATTAAACTAAGGTTAAAACGAATCCAGCGACAAAAACCAAAAACCTATGTACGTAATTTTGACGATATAAACATAAAACATAACATTAAAAAAGAATTTAACAATAGAACAAAAAACATCGGAGAACAACTAGAAGATCCAGAAGAACTATGGAGTAAATTTTAAAACCAAGTTAATGAACTGTCCAAAAAATTTAATTAAGAAAAATAAATGGATGACAGACGATATCTTGAAATGAATGGAACAACGTCGACTGATTAAATCTAATGAAACAGAATATAGACACCTGCAGAGAAGAATAAAAAAGGAAATCAAATTAGCCAAAGACTTATTTATTGTGCACAATAAACTAAAATAAATGAGTATCATATTTAAAAAACGAATTATCTCTGTAGTCGTTGACAGTAATAACAAAATTATTGTAAATGAGCACGAAATAAGAAAAAAATGGCAGCTGTATATGCTGAGTTATTTGAAGATAACAGGAATAATATAGCCGAATTCTATCAAATTTGTACTGACGGCCCAGAAATTATGAAATTTGAGCTAGAACATGCTATAAATAATGCTAATATTCAGATGGTGTCCAGATTTTTTTTTTTTTTTTATTAACCCCACATTTATTACAATCTATCTGTACAATCTAAACCTAAATATTTAGGTAGATAATAGACAATACGTAATAGGACTGACAATAATTTGGAATGACATGTAGGGAGGCATCCAGTGATGCACCCCTTTTTTTAAAAACTTAGCCTACAACACTGACTATTTCTGACATAGACTTGTACACATTAATTTAGAACCTATTGTTCACTTAACTCTAACGGAACTTTTCGTTTTAGCCTACGAACAGTACGCGGTTTATTCACTAAACTTTTTGCTAACACGTTTGGGTGCACTTTAAGTTTCTCTTTATGTTTTTTCAATGGCTTCATTGGTTATGAACCATGGAACTCCTAGTATTGATCTCAATGTTTTGGACTGGAATCTTTGTATTATTTCAATGTTGGAATGTGCGGCGGTTCCCCATAATTCTGGGTGATATTAGTAATAATGGTGTCCAGATGATACACCAACTGACTTGCTGAAACTAATTGAGGATGATAACATAAAAGTAGTAGTAAGACTTTTTAAATCAATATATAACCTCGGAGTGATTTTCACAGATTGGCTCAAATCTATCTTTGTCTCAATACCTAAAAAACACAATGCGAGAAAATGCTCAGAATATCTATTAATTAGCTTAATGAGCCACACTCTTAAAATTTTCCTCAGAATACTTCACAACAGCCTCAGAAGCCACATGTGGAATCCACCTCCGTGAAAAGTAGCCAATACAATTAATCTCTTGAAAAGGGACAAAATCCGTACCGATCTAAACTATTATAGGCCGATTTCACTCCTAAACGTTTTAGCTTAAGTCTTCGAGAGGATCCTAAAGAAGAGACTCGTTGACTTTACCACCAAACACAATATCATTCCGTCGTTTCCATTCAGCTTTAGAAAAGGTCACTCTATTAAACGGCATTGACAAAAAGCATCACACGCCTTACATAAAGTATAAACGACGGTAAAGTATCCTTTGGCATCTTCCTCGATGTTCAAAAAGCCTTCGACCAAGTCTGGCATGCTGGACTGGCCAAGAAACTGTTGAATATCGGCCTGCCTCTCTCATTCGTTAGACTTATCCATTCATATGTCTCATAATGTCTAATCACGGTGAACGAGCAAGGTCACTTCTCTGATTCTTTTACTCCTATAGCAGGAGTACCACAAGGTTCAGTGTTGGTTTTCATATTATACACAATTTACAATATTGACTCTTCCAACCCACAATACACTAAAACAACCATTTTACTCTACGCAGATAATAAAGCTCTCGTAACAACATCACGAGTCGTAGACTCAGTACTTAGGTTTGCTCAAAACCACCTTAACCTGGTCGACAAGTGGTGTAGGAGATGCAGAGTAACACCTAGCCCAAATAAAACACAAATGATTCTCTTTAGACACCCCAGTCTTAGCAGATATATCACACCCATCATATTCAAAAGATACAACCTTAGACTATGGGGAGACCGACTACAGCTCCACGATCGGATCGAGTACCTAGTATCGAGACAACGGTGTAGTGTTTACACAAACACTGAACTGGAGGACCGATCTGGAGATAGCTTGTAACAAGGCTAGGAGCAGACTCGGTCTACTGAATCCTCTTGGTGGTAAGTTCGAAAGAACACACCCACGCTCACTCATACAAACATATAAAACATTTATAAGGCCAATCATTGAGTATAGATCCAACGTCGATATGACGATGTGCGGCTATCTCATACAAAAACTGCTGGCACTGGACAGGAGAATCCTGTTTAAAGTGAATAACAAGCGCCGCAACTACCCCTTTGCTCACATTCATCACCTGTCGAATATCCAGCCCATCGATGAGAGGCTCTCCTCTCTGAGCAGGAGTTACACAATCAAAACCATCCAAGGCCAACTTTAGAGCCCAAAACTTACTGAAAACTACCTGCTCATCTATCGGCAATGTATTCAGAAGAAAATCTAGACCTAATATCTCTTTCCTACCCGCAATACTACTGGCCCTTGCCAGCATCGAGCTCCCTGATGAATACATTGACATGCAGGAGGCAACTTCCCTCTACCATCGTCGCAATAACTATTAATTGTTCACTTTGAGCTTGCCTAGACAGGGAGGAATCGGTTTTCTGTGGTTTCCCGGTCCCATTTTACAATGCTACCTGTCTATAGCAGAGAATACAGCCACAGCTGCCCTCACGAAAATCGCGATTCAATACATTTAATATTTAACAAATTGTATACATATAATTCACATATTCATAATATTTTTTAGCACAATAGCTTCTGAAAAGGACCGTTAACCAACGCTCCTTTCTCCGCTGATTGTCCAGTACGCTCCTCCGATGACAAGTCCAAACAGCAAATCACTAGTAGAACCCACAAAGCCAGTGAAAGAAAAACACCATCCAAACAAAAACAAACCAAGTCCTGAAGAGGTGAAAAACCTATAACAGGACACCAAAACACCAGACAAAGAATCCATCGCACACAAAAAAAAACAAAGAGACAATGAGTCGCTCTCGGTCGCAGTCTGGTCTCGGTTCCCAAATAGGGTCTCTGCACCCTGGGAGTCCGAAGTCGGTGCTCTGCTCAGGTTTTACTACGTAAGACTCTGTGGCCGGACCTTGTCCACCGGCCACTCCTGTGGTGTGTTTAATTTACTTCCTGTTTAAGAAATGTTACTTTACAATAAAAGATGGATGATACGCAGAGGGTTCTTTGAATAGACTGGTCAAAGACCCTCTGTAAGGCACCTTGGGATTATATAAGTGGCCATACGTTAACAAGCCCTTGCATCCCATATGGTAATAAATCAACACCTAACTTGTATTTTTTATTTCTTTTTGTATATTTACATTTTTCTTTTGTCTATTTACACCGTCACTTTCGGCGTACAGAAAACGAGCGCTTGCACGGATGGTTAATCTTTAGTTGTTATCAAAACGCTTACGTAAATTTTTTTCTTTAGATTACTCTTAACCTGTTAAGAAATTTCATTAAAGAAGTAAACTAGAAATTTAAAATATTGTACCTTCAACTCCGTATTATTATTAGAGTCGAGAGTTTGCAAACAACTTTCTGCGACCAATAGACTAGATTCCGAGCCTTTTATTTTTCACAGATGTCTTCTTCTCATGGCACCGTCTTCTTTAAACATTGGCGATCCACATGGCGATTGTAGTTTTGGAAACTGCTGCGCGAAAGATTTTTGCGGATAAGCGATCGAACCATCTCCTCAGGTCTTTCAGCCACGAGTTCTGGCGTCTTCCTACTGATCTTTTGCCCTGTACTTTTCCTTCCAGTATAACTTGAAGTAATTAATATTAGCCTCTCAACACATGATTCAAGCATTGCATTTTCCTCTCTTTGATTATTCTTAGTAATTCTTTTTATTTACACATGCGACGAAGTACCTTAACTCTTTGTACCCATGGAATTTTCAACATTTGTCTGTATATATACATCTCAAAGGCATCTATTCTTTTTTCTATTTCAGCGTCCAGTGTCCAACTTTCACAGCCATGCATTAAGACAGAAAAAACATAACATCTGATTATTCGGATTCTAAGCTGCAGACTAAGGTCTGATCTTGTAAAAAATGTTTTTATGCTCATGAATGTTTTCCTTGCTTGTTCGATTCTTGATAGGATTTTTTTTTTTGGATTACACTGACACTTGATATTTACTTCAAAATATTTTATGGAATTTACCTATTCTATTATTTGACCCTTGGCATACACATATACGTTTATTGGTGTCTTTGAAAATACTAAAATTTTAGTTTTGGAAACGTTTAGATGTAAA